TACATCTTTTATTTTAACAAGATTCATCCAATTGGGCAACTTTTATAAAGTATCTTTAAAGACAGAAGAGTTATCCTTGATTTACCACAATGGCTCCGTAAAACACGAAAGATTCATAAAAATGTACTTTTTTTATCTCGTAAAATTTGTTAAATTGTTGTTGTATTCCAATAAAAAGATGGTATATAACTTTTAAAATACTTTTTATAAAGAATTAACATAAGTTTACACGGGAAAATAAGAGATTCAAACAGAAATAATATACGCACCTGAACTGCACTTTTACCGATAAGCCTTATAGTTATAATTATAGGCCAAACTAAACTTACTACTATTAGTAGTATTAGTAAGTTTAGTTTGGCCTATAAGGCTTATCAATAAAAATTATTTAATATTTATAGACCATTCAAAATATGGGCCTAATTTTATGTAGGCTATATTTTAATTGAGACGGCTTTATAATAAATTAGCTTTCTCATTTAATTTACAACGAATGTTTTTTGTTTTTTTTTAAGGCAATGACTGTGAACACGGAAGTGGCAATGACTTGAATTTGATAACAAGATTGTGACAACAACACCTGTATGGCTCAGGAGTTGCTGCGATGAATGTATAAACAATCAAAGTTGGAAAACGTTTCGTCTGAAAGCTTAGCCTTAACAAAACGTTTGATACAAACATTCTATAACGTTTACTCACCATAATGTACCAAAAATAACAGTAGGACGAGAGTTCCAATACCTAAGGCCGCCATCTTTTGATTGAAACTTACTACCTGGCCTGACCTACATTTTACTGTCACGGAGGGACAACCCATTGGGACAGCGGGACATAATGCCGATATTTTTTTTTTTTAAAGCGTTGGCCCAAGACAGTGATTATTTATTTCTCCCCCCCCCCCCCAAACCCGCCTTTAACCAATTATTATCTACCTACTACAGTTACTACAGCAGTGTCGAGAGAAAAGCTCAACATATAATTTAATTTAATTATAAAGCATTACAAGGCATCTCCTAGGTATGTCTGTCATAATTTCTACACCCCTCCCCACTTGNGGTATATATATATATATATATAAATAGGTAAATGAATCTAAGGTTCATTACTAATTTCTTTCAACAAATTTTATTCATCGATAGTTTCTTGAATGAGTCAGTAAATAACCATTTATTATAATTCTACGTGAGGGCTCACCGGGTTTGCCAACCATCTTTAAATTTACGGACAGTCCGTAAAAATTTGACCTTAAATTACATGCCAGTGGTCAGAGGTGGCTGACTCACGACTCGCCGCGAAAAATAGTGTGACCCGCGTACGCCTGATATATAACAAACCAATTCTTTTTTTCTTCTTTTTTTTTTCATTCATTCATTTGAGAAAGATGATCAATTTTAAAAAGAATAAGAGAAAAAAAAATCACATATTTAGACAAAAATAATTATTTGATTGCGTGCATCAAAAATAGCTAAATAATGCAATACATCATTTTGTGTGTGTTCATTATAATAATTTAATTATGCGCGGCCTATGTAAGGTTTACTCACTATCAAATTGGCCAGCGAGCCCTTTTAGGGTTGGCCATCCAGAAGCGTAGCTAAGGGCTTGGGCAGAGGGGGAGTAGATGTGAGAGAGGCGCCAAAATGGGTTCTGGTGGGATTTTAATTTTATTGATAAAATTAATGGATTTCAGAGTCGAGGAGTGTGTCAAATGAATCTTGACCCCGGGCATTCTACAGATTAGCTACGCCCCTGTCGCCACCCCTGTTTCAGGATGCCCGTATACGATTGAGACGTTTGCACAGTTTTTTTGAAGCAATAAACACCAGACATTTCTCCTTGGTTGCTTTGATTTTATACTTAATGCGATTATAGACAGGAGAAATTCAACACTGAAGAGAATGCTGCTAACAATAAAATAAAGTTATAAAAATGTTTACAAATAGACCGTAAAAAAGTTTAAAATGTCAGTAAAAAAGACATTGTACAAGTTGTTTTTGAAGTCAAACAAAGCTGGATAAGTGAACTGTTTTTGCCATTTCTTCTAAATCTTCTTGCTTGCTTTGATTTTGTAGCCTACTTATTGTGCGATCATAACCTGAGGAAATTCAACATGATCGAGAAGAATGCTATACAATAAAATAACATAATTATCAATAAATAGACTCTGGCCTTATGCTCATGGTTTATTAATGACATCATGACTATGACTTAAATATAATCAGAAAAACATTACTACGGATTTTTAAGACGGCTTTTTTTTTTTTTGTTTTTTTTTTTGAATTTTTTTTTTAAATTTTTTTTTTTAATTGTTTTGTAAAAAAAAATTTGAGTCACCGTAAAAAATGAGATTTAGAATATTCGTCCGTAAATAGGCAATTATTATTGTTTTTTAGAAGGCAACCATGAATCCTATCTTTCAAACTTTTAGACATAGGCCTAGGTAAAATGTAATTGAAAATGAGCATATCCTTTCATTGTCGCAGTTTCTTCCCCTTCCTCGTCGCTAGATGGCCTGTCTCGTCGATGTAAGTCTCAATTTCAGCGACGACGATGATAAAATAATAACATTGTGAAATTAAATCCCTAATGCTAATACTAGTAAACTTCGCTATCTTCAATGGAATACATATATTTCTTATAAGGTTAGTGTTTTAACAATAGTTCTTATGTTTACTTATAGAGCTAAAATAAATGGGTCCACTAATTTTTTTCATCGACCAACGAATCGGGAGCAACGAGAAACAATACGAAACAAGAAGACAGAAGCTGATACTCTTCTGGATATGCAGCATCGGTGCCGAATCGGTAACGAAATTAGGTCGAGTATAGTCCGTGTCACCTTTCTTGTAATACGGATTATGGTTATGTAATTTGTTTTATTTAACATAAGTCTGGAATGTTGATTAAATTCATGGCAAAGCGAAATTTAAACAAAATCATTAAAAAAAAATTATCATCATTCGCCAATCTAATCGATTTACCTAACAGTAGTTGATGAAGTGATGAGCAGATAACTCTTAAATAGTCTTAAGCTAACAAGGTGTGAATGAAATAGGATAGTCTCCCCTACATCAAACATTTAATATCTACACTATAAACTGTAAATAAAGTAATGTTTTGAATTTTTTAGGATATACTGAAAATGAAATTAATATTATTAGAAGTACTTTGCTACGTGACGTAGTCGTGGGCGTAGACCGTTTATTTATATATTATATTTGTTATTATTATTATGTTCCTTTAACTTTTAAGTTACCACCGGTAGTCTAAAATTTTGTGATCTTTGCTTTAAAAAAAAAAAGGAAATTGGAATTTGAAGCTCCTACCGAGACACCTGAGTGATGACTTTAATCAAATAGATTTTCAATAATCTTCATAAGGGTACACATTTATCACACTTTTACAATATTTCTTTCAGTGTTCATTTGGAAACTACAAGATTGAAATTGAAGGAAATTAAAAGTGATACTAAAAAGTATTCTACCAGACAAGAATGAGTTTCAACACTGGCAAGGTGGAATACTTTCCTGGTGACAATGATGAAGCGAGCTTGTTACAATTAACAGCTTCTGATGGTGGTGATATTAATAACTTCACTTCCAGAGACAGACCTTTTGTTTGTCATGTGTGCAGTAAGAGATTTACACAGAAAGCTCATCTAATCATTCACAAAAGAATCCATACTGGTGAAAAGCCATACTCCTGTCACATCTGTCACAAGAGGTTTGCACAATCGTCCCATCTTACTGTTCACAAGCGTGTTCATACGGGCGAGAAGCCCTTTTTCTGTAATTTTTGCGGGATGGGTTTCTGCCGAAGGCCTCGCCTAGAGGCTCATATACTGCAGCATGTAGTGAAAGAGGGAAAAGCGCTGCCGTCCAGTCTCAAGGGTAACATGCTAAATAAGCTGTCTATGGTGGGGCTGGACAACATGGTGACAAAAATAACCCGTTCAAGCCAAGAATCCTTGGATGCCGCCTCTCAGTTGATTGAGCTGAAGATGAAATCGGATGCAACCTCAGATGTGAAAAACGAGCCATTGGATCTAGATGATAACGACCTGGTGAAGAATGTGATAGAGGAAGTGGCTGCAGCAGACAAATGTTCTGAGGTTGATTCAGGAAGAAAAAGAAGAAAGCCAGAGTTTGTGAGACGGGTTGGCAGTCATGAGGGGGACATGATCACTTCTGTGGAGCCATTCAGGGAAGATAATAGCTTCTGTAATGAAAAAAATTCAAACAACAAAAGTTTGTTGGGGCTTTCTTCTGATGATTTGGAGAAAATCGCTTCTAGCCTTTCAGAGCTGACAGAAGTTGAAAAACACAACTTAATTTTGGGGTCTTCCAAAAATAATGTCAGCCTATCAGTTAACAATAATCTGCTACCTGCCAACAGTCGAACCCTTCACTCTCCAATGCTGCACAACTCTGGACTGAGCATGTCTGGCCTTGTGCGCACCAACAGTCGCATATCTCTTGTTGACTTCACGGCCGAAGATATCCTTCAGCATCTCATGACGAGAGATGATGTGAAGTCCTGCAGCTTCTGCTGCATTATTTTCCACGATCCAGCAATGTACTACCTCCATCGCAGCATGCACGACAAGATGGATGTCAGATGCTGCAACTTATGTGGGAAACTGCTTCTGGACAAATATGACTTTACTGCGCATTTTTTGAGCCAGCACAAGTGATTATTGTACTCTTTTTTTTTTTTTTTTTTTTTTTTTTTTTTTTTTTTTTTTTTTTTTTTTTTTTTTTTTTTTTTTTTGCGACCTATTTTGTTAATATTCAACAGAGAATCTTTATTTTAACTCTACAAAAGTTACTAATAAATTTGACAGGGGCCAGTTTGATTTCTGTTCTGTTAAAGTCTACTTGGGTAAGTCTGGTTTCAACCACATTTATCATTTATAATATTCCAATTAGAATACTTTATTTTGTAGTCCATCTCAGATATGGTATTAAAATCATATCAGAAATGTGAACTTTAGGTCTCCCTGCTTTGCTTTGTTAGATTGCACCAGGATTGTTAATCAGCTCTGTTGTCTGCCTGTTTTGTATTTTACTCATTCCGCAACTGAAAATTGACAAATGGGTAACATTATATTAAATGCACAAGTCTTAGTTGTTGATAATGTACATATATTTATTTCTATAAATATGTTGAGGTTGTGTTTTTAAAAAACAACAACTCGAGCAATTGTTACTGCTGTGTTGGAACTGAGTCATGCAATTCAAATCATCTTCTGAGGATTTAATTTCACATGTCATGTGTAGAGGTTTGTTGGCTGCCATTGGCACAGTGTTTATATGCAAGAGAAATGTTTGTGTTAGCAAAAGACTGAGCTAAATACACTTACAAAGTGATAACTTGTTGTTTTTTACTATTGTATGTGATGTGATACTCAGTCTGGTGTTCACTCGGTGTAGCTTTACTTAACCATTTTTTATTAATGAAGAAAAAATATTTTACACTATTACTTTATTTGTTATTATATTATTGTGTGTAATTAACAATAATCAACATGAGAATAGAATTTTTTTTTTCCCTTTGGTAAATATGTTTTTGAAAACCATGTCACCTTCAAATACTGAAAACCAGATTCAATGTGTAAATATCTATGGCTCCTGAGTGGAAATGAGAACAGGCAAGGCAACATCAGCAGGGTGTTTACTTTGACTTGGTTTCATTTCTGGGATATCATTTAAAGCCAGATTTGTTTCCCAATTCCATTGAGGATGAAACAGGCTGAAGAATACCATCCTACATTTTCTTCCTTTTATCTTTTAAAAATGTTTCTTCAATGAGTTCAAATCTTTAAAATGTACATGAATTCTAAACTTCTATCAAATTACATCAGTAATTTTGGCAAGAAGCAGCTCTTGTATTTTTATATAAGCCTTAATAAAGAAAATCCCAGTTCCTCTCACTACCGAAGTTAGGAATGAATTTTCTTGTATCTCTTAAACAGTGTTTAAACTCATGATTAAGAAACAATAAAACTCCCTGCCTTCAAAAATGTTATGGTATGTTGATGTAGATTTATAATATTGATATTGAAATGATTATCACATACACTTAACTCAAATTTGCACTGTTTCATTTTTATATCAAATTAATCCAACCTTTTACATTCTGTTGTATGCAAGTTGAGATCGTGAAAAGAGAATCACAATCATTTTGTTGAGTCAAAAAGCATTCCTTATTAATTGTAGGAAAATGTTACCATTCTAACATTCAAACCTCCTGCACTTGTGAGCCAACTGTTCATTAAGTGTACTGCACTTGGTGAGCCAACTGTTCATTTTATGTACTACACTTGTGAGGCAACTATTTAAGAAGTCAATGGTTTTGTTAGATTTATTATAACAGAATGCAATGCGACACAACCAGTAAAAAATAAGGCTCCATAATGACAGGATTTTTGAGGTGGGAGAGGAAAATTCCTATGCTACAAAATTAACTTTTATTCTCCAAATTTTCTATATTTGAGATTGTTCAAACTAAAAGAAGAAAAAAAATCCCCACCCAGGCGTTTTTAATCCATTGCAGGGGGAAAAACCCTAAATGTGAAAGTATTAATGTCTATTATGCTGGATTAATTCCCATTGTTGAAATAAGTTGTTGAGGCACTACAAATTGTCAGAACTAATTATTTCAACCAAAGCCTCATTTGTTCAAACCTCTTGTCTGCCATCTCATAACACTTCTAATATTCTCATGATTTGCCTCACTGACACTCCTGACAAAATGTAGGGCTTTTTGCTGTGGACATTTTAAGACAGGAAGCTTCTCACTAAGATAAGTATTGATTATAACAGTAAAACTGAGCAAAACCACTGTAATCCTATGATCAGCTTTCACAATGCCTGAACACTCTTTAAGATTATTCAGAGATATTATCATGAAGCAAAATTTTTTACTGTTATACTTCTGTAGATAAAGTTAAAATACACAATTTTAAGACACTTCTTTGTTACGGGATTCTAGAAATTGTCAACGTTTGTTTTGGGCATGGTTTCATTCCAGATTTGATGACATCTACTCTATACCATTATGTGACCACATTCTGTAATGCCGTGGCTGAAAATTTTATTGTATTGGTATTTGGTATTCACTTGCACAGTCTGTATGCTATATTCAACAAAGACCCTCTCTCTCTCGACTCACTTAGCCATGTGTGTATTTCATTGGTCTGTATGCTATATTCAACAAAGACCCTCTCTCTCTCGACTCACTTAGCCATGTGTGTATTTCATTGGTGGCTATGCCATTCTTGGGCCTGCGCAGACCGTCCTAAGTTAGAATGTTACAAGGGTTGCACCAATTATTGGGCAAATAATCGTCCTCATTGGCCATCACTGTTAAATTGGCCAACGATTATTGGTCCGATGTCACCAACTGAAATGCCATTTTAAATTAACTTTTTCTTTGTTGCTTTAATTATGAATAAAATGATTATGCCTGAAAACAAATTTCTCTTTTGTTTTTCACTTAATTTGTTGTTGTTTTTTTAAATTAAAGTCCTAACCTTGCATGCATCACGTGAGGTTTGACAAGGGGGTCCCCTGACAGCAGCTTACTAACATTCCATGACCAACTGTATGTAAGACAATAGGGAACATCAGGTACCGTTTATCGAAACGTTTCTAGGTTCCCCTAATCTGTGTTCCTTGACTTTGTATAACTTGATCTCTTTCTTCCTCAAATTATTTCTAGCTATGCCATGTGGTTAGCACAATTAACTGACTGCTAGTTTAATCAACTCACTGCTAGCACAATCAATTGAATGCTAGCTTAATCACCATAAAATCAGTTTTTCAAGTGGAAGATGAATGAAATATGAATTGTTAAATGTGTGCTTGTTTTGGTGTGGAGATTAATTGTGTAGCGTTTGCTATGTGCGTCCTATTTGTGACGTGTTTGGGCTTAACATATCTTTAGTCTGCTAGGTATTACTTGCGCTAAGTTTGATAAAACCCATTCGCACACCAAAGCGAAACAAGTTGCTACAATCAGATTAAATGGTCGATCACGTACAATGACAACAAAGGCAAACAAACAATGAATGTCAAGGATTTATTCGAAAATCTTGGTCTTAAGGTGTTGTTTAATTTATTAGTTTATAAATTGATTTTAATCCTGAATGAGTAGAATCGAACAGGAGGAGGGGAAAAGGTAACCGATGACGTCACGGAGGAGTGATCTTTGCTCATGACGAGAAGTACAACCCGAACTTGCCATCGTTCTTCACCAGGACCTCCTTTCCGGTCAGATCTCTGCTCACCCCTTTCTTCAGGACGGCATCATTGTCCAGCTGGACAAGTGGCTCTGCATAAAGGGCGTGGTTGATCTGGACGATAAAATAGAATGACGTCACAGTTCAGGCCAGCGCGGAAGCCTCATCTTACTCAGATAGTGCGAAAATAATAAGCACATAAAAAAATGGTCGCTCAAAGCTGAACTTGTACCGGAAATCATGAATTGGCACATAACATATTTAAAGCCGAAGTTATAGGAAGTACAAGCGACTGCGACAAAATTTCAAGCGTGGAACTTATGTTAGACAATACCTCTCCGAATCCTCAATCCTGCATCATACATCCTCAATCTTACACCTCAATCCTGCATCATACGTCCTCAATCTTACACCTCAATCCTGCATCATACATCCTCAATCTTACATCTCAATCCTGCATCATACGTCCTCAATCTTACACCTCAATCCTGCATCATACATCATCAATCTTACATCTCAATCCTGCATCATACATCCTCAATCTTACATCTCAATCCTGCATCATACATCCTCAATCATACATCTCAATCCTGCATCATACATCCTCAATCTTACATCTCAATCCTGCATCATACATCCTCAATCATACATCTCAATCCTGCATCATACATCCTCAATCTTACACCTCAATCCTGCATCATACATCCTCAATCTTACATCTCAATCCTGCATCATACATCCTCAATCTTACATCTCAATCCTGCATCATATATTCTCAATCTACCAACAACGTTTCTGCGCAAGGTACAAATTATTTCCTTATAAAAACAAAACAACACAACAACAACGCAACTCTTAACTCCTGACAGGGACTGTTGTCAGTGATGTTGTAAGCAACGCACCCACTTGACTCCTGACAGGGACTGTTGTCAGTGATGTTGTAAGCAACGCACCCACTTCATCTTTTGATAGACGGTGCCGTGGTTGATGTTGCAGCAGGCTGCACTTACCTTCTCATAAGACAACGCACCCACTTGACTCCTGACAGGGACTGTTGTCAGTGATGTTGTAAGCAACGCACCCACTTCATCTTTTGATAGACGGTGCCGTGGTTGATGTTGCAGCAGGCTGCACTTACCTTCTCATAAGGGCTGTTGTGAATGCTGTTGTAGCAGGATAAGATGGCCCACCGTCTTAGGTCACTGGTGTTGGCGCTGCTGGTGTGGAGGAGGTTGCCGTGGAAGAACAGCGCGTCCCCGGGGCCCATCTCCACATACAGGCTCTCAAGCTTCTTCTCCAGCTCTGCGACACGGTCAAGGTCGGCTCCAGTCTGAAGGGCCAGGTGGGTGGTAATGTGGAGAGTTTGGGGGGTGGGGGTGGGGGAGGGATAGGTAGTGAACATCGCGTTACGGTTACGATTGTGCTCAGTGGTGGATGGAAATATACAATTTTAAAAATGAAGATGCTATATACAATCAATATGATGTTACATATAATCATCCAAAGTTATGGTTTTGTATACAATCAAAGTTAGGATGTCATAGACAATCAATAGTTGGAATGTTTCATACATTCAAGATGCGTAACTAATCCCCAAATGCTCCTTATCGTACTATTGCTGTCATGTAAAAATGTACGCCTGGCATTGTTATGTAAAAAATTATGTATTGTATTGTTGTTATGTAAAAATTTATGTGCTGTATTGTTGCTATGTAAAAATGTATGTGTTGTATTGTTGTTATGTAAAAATGTATCTGCTGTATTGTTGTTATGTAAAAATGTATGTGTGGTATTGTTGTTATGTTAAAAGTTGTATTGTTGTTATGTAAAAATGTATGTGTTGTATTGTTGCTATGTAAAAATGTTTGTGTTGTATTGTTGCTATGTAAAAATGTATGTGCTGTATTGTTGTTATGTAAAATGTATGTGTGGTATTGTTGTTATGTAAAATGTATGTGCTGTATTGTTGTTATGTAAAAATGTTTGTGTGGTATTGTTGTTATGTAAAATGTATGTGCTGTATTGTTGTTATGTAAAATGTATGTGTGGTATTGTTGTTATGTAAAATGTATGTGCTGTATTGTTGTTATGTAAAAATGTATGTGTGGTATTGTTGTTATGATGTTTGGATCTTATTCCATGATGTTATTGTTGCTGTAGGCTGCATGAGGAATGCAATTAAAAACAAAAAAAATCTCTTTCCATTGATGCAAACATCCTGCTGTGTTTAAATATTTGTCCTTATTTTCTACGGTTTGAATTTTCTGATGTTGTAAACACCCCTCCCCCCCCCCCCAACTTTACCTGATCCGCTACGATGCCGTGCTCGATGCGTCCACACCTGTGAGAACCCCTGAGCACCTGCAGGCAGCCGTTCTCCTTCTCCGTCCGGTCCAGGGCTATGAACACGGTCAGCATGTCCGGGAAGAGGCAGGCGAACTTGTACCAGTAGCCGTAGTCCTGGTGCCAGACGAACTTGCCCCCCGACCTGGCGTCCTTCATCATCAGTTTGCTGTGGTAGTGGTAGACGGGGCTGCCGAGCAGCTGGGAATGGTGAAATTATATGAAGAGCCGCCATGATGTGGTGTAAGGCGCAGTTTGTGTAATACTACAGTTTAAGAAGTGCGCCCCTTGCTTAACGTTTGGGCGCTCTTTACGATTTGTCCCGGTGTTTCACGATCGTGCCCGGTGTCCCGAAAAAGCCTACCGGGACGCCTAAATGTCCCGTTTCTAAAACCAAACATATATTCTGTTCTAGTTTTGACAACTTTACATAAGATAAGAAGGAGGTTTTAACAATGTTTGGGACAACAGCCAAATATCCTCAATTTAAATCCTAGACTCGAGAAATTTAATTTTTTGTGTTGTATTATGTTGTAAAATATATATAAAGATATAAGAATTCACTGAAAAATTATAGTTTTCGTTTATGATATGCCTCAAAGTTTAAATTAAATTGCAAAAGTGAAGGTAAATTTAAAAAAGATTTCTAGGTCTCAAAATAGTTCAAATGAGCATATTTCAATAAACAGTTTCCAGTGGAGCCCCGGGCCCCTCTTTAGCTGGAGGGTATCCCCCCTTCCCCAACCCCTCATTGGGTGTGTCCCGTTTTTTCCAGTTCATGATTTGGACACCCTAGATTAAAGACAAAAGACAAAAATGCCCTCGAATTAAACTTTAAGCGCTACTCATCTGTTTTACTCTAAGCGCCACTCATCTGTTTTACTCTAAGCGCCACTCATCTGTTTTACTCTAAGCGCCACTCATCTGTTTTACTCTAAACGCCACTCATCTGTTTTACTCTAAACGCCACTCATCTGTTTTACTCTAAGCTTGATTTATCTATTTTTGGAAACGATCTCTTTTCATCTTTAAGAAAAAAAACACCATTTCAGTCCTGTCCGGGTTTAGACATGAATCAATTGTGAAGCCATAATGGAAAGCGAGAAATATTACAAGAATAATAAAGCCCAATAAGTTTATACGACGAGAATATATAACGTATTTTATGTATCAACTTCTTTAACGTCCAGGAGTCTTTTGAAATCGTCCGAGTCACTCAAGGTCCCAATTTTTCGGATAATCGACGTTCTTCTGTGAATCTTACTTCCCCACTCTTTTGTTCCACCAAAGGAATTCTATGAACCATGACTACAAACGGCAGATAACCCTCACCTCCTCCGCGGTGTGGGCCAGCTTTCTTGTCCGTGCCAGCGCCCCTGTCGTATCGTTGCCAGGGTTGTTCCACAGGCACATCCTGGCCTCGCGTCCTTCACCGTCATCATTTCCATAGGCGTAGCTGGTCAGCGAGTCGGGGCCGTTGACAGCTTCCTGAAATTTTATTGTGCATCAGAGAGGGGAAATGGTGTACAAATAGCATACATGTAGTGCATATTTTGTGTAAATTTAGAATGCATCAGAGGTGTACCGAGGGTGTGGCAAGTATCAAAATCACGTGACTGGCTACGCCAGTGTCTTCTTTCTGACACTGTCAACATACATACTGGTTCTCGTGTCTTTTTGACGGAGCCCAGAAGCTACTACTGTCACCGTTGTCTAGGTTCTTGACCGACCCCTGCAGCTACTGCTGTCACCCTTGTCTAAGTTCTTGGACCGACCCCTGCAGCTACTACTGTCACCCTTGTCTAGGTTCTTGACCGACCCCTGCAGCTACTACTGTCGCCCTTGTCTAGGTTCTTGGCCCGACCCCTGCAGCTACTACTGTCGCCCTTCTCTAGGCTGTTGACCGACCCCTGCAGCTACTACTATCAGCCGCCCTTGTCTAGGTTCTTGGACCGGCCCCTGCAGCTACTACTGCCGCCCTTGTCTAGGTTCTTGGACCGACCCCTGCAGCTACTACTGTCGCCCTCGTCTAGGTTCTTGGACCGACCCCTGCAGCTACTACTGCCGCCCTTGTCTAGGTTCTTGGACCGACCCCTGCAGCTACTACTGCCGCCCTTGTCTAGGTTCTTGGACCAACCCCTGCAGCTACTACTGTTGCCCTCGTCTAGGTTCAACTACAGCACAGCAGCACTCTGCACTAAGAGTCACGCAGACCAACTACTACAGGTGGCAAGACTTCATAAAGTAATACTGCTCATCTTTCTTCTCGGTACTGACAATATGGTACACATCACCCGAAGACTAACATCATCTCAGGCAACGACAACTCAACGTGAACTAACTCTCGCTAGCTACTAGCTACACTTACCTGGCTATTTCAATAAGCTCTTGGCTACTCCAAGAGGTAAACGTAGCACCGTTTGAGCTCTTGTATACTACCTTTCAAATCATGTCAGCAAAATCTCAAATCTTGCATACTATATCTCAACTCTTGTGACCCAAATCTCAACTCTTGTGACCCAAATCTCAACTCTTGTGACCCAAATCTCAACTCTTGTGACCCAAATCTCAACTCTTGTGACCCAAATCTCAACTCTTGTGACCCAAATCTCAACTCTTGTGACCCAAATCTCAACTCTTGCATACCAAATCTCAACTCTTGTGACCCAAATCTCAACTCTTGTGACCCAAATCTCAAATCTTGCATACCAAATCTCAACTCTTGTGACCCAAATCTCAACTCTTGTGACCCAAATCTCAACTCTTGTGACCCAAATCTCAACTCTTGTGACCCAAATCTCAACCCTTGTGACCCAAATCTCAACCCTTGTGACCCAAATCTCAACTCTTGTGACCCAAATCTCAACTCTTGTGACCCAAATCTCAACCCTTGTGAGCGAAATCTCATTTCTCGCATCCTAAATCTCAAATATGGCGTACCAAATCTCAACACTTGTGAACCAAATCTCAACTAACTCTTAATGAGCCTCAGTAGTACCTGCTGGTCAACACTGAAAAAAATAGAAATCTCAGAACGAAAGTAATTTAATCAACACAAACCTACCATAGCAAGATGATTTATTTTAACACAATTATGTGTGAGGTGAAAAAAGATCTGTGGCAATTCTTTCAATCAAAGTAATTACCAAAAAGAAATGGAGATTCATTTGTTCTCAACATCTCAAAATTTACCGGCCTCACCCCCTCCCTCTTCTCTGCTAGTAACGCACTCTGTTGGGTTCCCAGGGATGGGGGAAAGGGGGTGGGGTGAGGGAGGTTAATCTTTTGTGAAAACTTGCGTCCCTCCTTACTTCTGACTATAGACCCAACTTCTGTCCACCCAAGCCTCCCATTCGTGGCCAATCAACCCTTCTGTCCATCCCATCCTTCACCCTGTTACCAATCAAAAATTCTTCTTATTACCAAA